TATAAATATATTATGTAATATTAATGTATAAGGGAATTCTTATTCCCATTTTCCTAACAAAATCCAGTGCAGATTGCGAACCACTGCCAGTTCAAGTTGTTCTACGACTTGACCTTGTGGCATGCTGCGCAGCTGCATCTGCCAGAGGTTTCGATCCTCAAGGGGCAACAGCCCCTTCCCCGTCCCCCTTGGCATTGGCCAGTAGGATTAGAATTGCCTGGTATCAAACAACTAAAAAAATCACGAAAAAAATCCAGTGCAGATCGCGAGCCTATGACTGCAATAATGACAGATAGGCGACCCAACTTGTACAAAAACAATGATCTTCAACCGTCCAACCTATCTTGACCGTTCAATCACTCCTCAAAAATGTGAAACGTCAGAAACTCACGTTCTGCTCTGTAACTGGAATTAGTTTTATGCGGTTTTGTGTTTTCTTTCCTTATCTTTCCTCCTTTTTTTAGAACGAGGAGTCTACTTTTTTCACTGTTCAATCACACCTCAAAAATGTGAAACGTCAAGAACTGACATTCCGCCCTGCAAGATATAAGGATGGAAGGAAACTGTGATTACGCTGCTTGATGTGTATATAAGATCAACTATTACTAATAATTTAATTTTAAAATTTTAGAGGTTCACATTAATTGATCTTAGCTGCCTAAATAAAAAATTAAGTACCTACCAATTGTTAGAATTTGCAATTTAGAAACGAAAATGCATGACAATTTCGAGGATCACTTTGCATCTTGCTTGGAGATCATCACAGCATGTACCTAGTGACTAACCGTTGCATCAACGGGAGAGAAGTGAGATGTCATACACCTGATTGACCAGCACCCCTCGTACCTCCACCATCCAAAAGTACGCACACAGACAAGAAAGAAGCTACTTCGTTTTATGGGTTCCACATCGAAACATGAACCTGTTGTGTCACTATGCTCTAGATATCACAATCCAAAAACAAATTAATGTGATTGTAAATAATATATTTAACAGTCGAGAACAACTTCCATATATCATAGTAAATGCAGGCGCAAACTACAAAATTGGAAGTACATTGGACAAAACAGTGTGTTAAGATAAGGAGATAATATATATTGCGTGTGCAACACTCAGTTTTGAATTGGACACTATTAAACTTTTCTAGCGAACTGAAACATCATCTCGGGATTGTTTTGGCTGTGTAAAAAGCATGCTTTTTCAACAAGTTGTGACGCAACACAGTGTATATATTAAAAGGCTTTTAGAGCAATAGAGACAGATGGGTTTTGGTATCTATCTTTTAGTTAATTCCCAAGGCACGAATAAGGTGGAGGTGGTAAATGATGAACATGCCAAACCCACGCTTGGGAATTATAGGAAATGAATACGCAGAGAGAAGGGCAATTGTGAAACTTGGGAGTTGGAACTTAGAAATCATTACGTCTCCAACAAAATGACATTAAGAAAACGGATAAGGTCCGACTTTTATAAATAATCGAATAAAAAAATATTTTATAATCTAAACTTTTTTTTATTGGTTGCACAACAAAAAAAGTAATATTTTTATATTTTTTATCTCATTTCACTTGCATGTTATGCAACTTAAATTTAAGATTTTTTATTTTTCAACAAAAAAAATTATCACCAAATTATTTAAATCATTGACACAATCTAAACTATTTTAGATCATAAACCATCAACTAGTATTAAATTAAAAGATTAATAAGAATTTAGTTGAAGTAGTATATAATAATTTAAATTTTTTAATTTAAAGTTAATAATAAAAATTTAATTCTTTGTATTATTAAATAATTAATTTTTTTATATATATAAAAAAAGATATAAAATTAGAAGAACCTCCATTTGATGTTTTACCACCTGATTTCATAGAGCATCTGGCTTGTAAATAATACTACCATAATTGATATATAGTAGTATAACTTTTCTATGGGATACAAGCCATTGCACGGTAGATAACACCCCAATCATGTTACAATGAATTTATTGATTTAATAGATTATAAATTTAAAAAAAAAATCTGCAGAAAATAAGACTTAGAAGAAGGTGTCACTAGCAGGCATATCGGATATAATATTGACAGAAAATTTTAGGGTTAAACAGCATCATATTCAACTTTCAGGCAATTAGCCAATCAAAGAAAACCAATATACCATATACTTATTCATGGTCATTCGGGATTAATTGCAAAGGCAACTGGATCATTGGGTTCGCTATTGAGCTGAGGATCAACTCTTTTTTTTTTTTTTATATTAATCTATTAGTATTTGATAACCACATTAAATTTGATTAATCCAGAATCAAATTATGTTAGACCTTATTTGAGAGGAAACTCTCTCAGCGCTTATTTTTTTATTCATAAGATTCGAATTCGAAATTTTATTTAAGAGAAACTGAATTCTTTCTACTCGAAACAACATGTCATTGATGAATTAACTCTAATTTTACAACCGAACTGTAGGGAATAAAATTGGGACTGGAAACAGCAGCTAGCATGGGCATTTTCAAATATTGAAGTGGAATGTGATTCTGTTGCTGTTATTAAAATCAGCAGAGACAGTAGGGAGTCTAACAAGATTCATATGCCTTTGATTATCTCTTTCAGGTCATTAAATTCGACAATTCAGGGGCATGCTCCTTAGACATGTCATCGTGAAGCAAACTGTGTTGCAAATGCACTAGCAAAACATGGAGCAATTTTGCCGGATGATTTTGTTATTTTTCAATGATGTACCTGCATTTTGTTTTCCTTTTGGTGCCCATGATAGGGCCAGTCTATGTGTGTGCCGAACTAGCACTGTGTACTTTTAATTAATGCCTTTCAATTTCCTGTTTGCACCATAGAATTATCAATGGTCGGTCAAAGGTACTCTGCTACAGTAAGTATATTATATGCTTATAATTTTATTAAAAGTTTGTCTTAACTGTATTTTAAGAGTGTGAATTAAAATTTATTAATTATAATATTTTAAATTAATTTTATATAAATTTTTATATCATATAATTTTTATATGTTTTGAATATAAATATTATATTATATTTTTATTTATTATATTATATTTAAATCTCATATAACTTTTATATGTTTTGAATATAAATATTATATTATATTTTTAT